ATGTAAATAAACGGTAAATAATAGGTGGGAGCGGAGCGCCCGTAATGCTCCTGCCAAATTAGTCGGGCACGCCGGAGCAATGGATTTCTTCGGCCGACTTGGAGGACCTCGTAACGAACTATCTGCCCCTTGCTTGAGGCGTCTCTGCAATCGCTCAGGCGATTCGGAAGGCATCGATGCCACTACTCCCGCGCGGGACTCGGCCCGGGGCCGAGTTGTATCAGCTTAATTTCTAATAACTCACTCAATTCTGTTCTCGTCATATCCCTTCGTAGTATCGTGTGCTATACTGACAAAAATACATAACCCGGTTCCTTTTCTTGGAGTTATTTGTGTAACAATTATCGCACGAACGGAAATAAAGGTTACGTAATCAACACAGATGCAGTGAGCAGGGTGTAGGTGATAGTAAGGGATGGTGCAGGATGTGTACGATGCAGAAGGTGTAACTGCGACGATGTCCACTTTCCAGGTCATCGTATATGAATTTAAGAACATAAGAGTAAGAGAGGAGAGGGAGGAAACTTGATATCGAGAGGTGTAAAAACATGAGTTCAAATTCGATTGTGCGAGTTTGGATTCATGCTCAGAGCCCAACCATACTACGCCGCCACCTCGTACTGAGCTCGTCAATTTTGAGAGCCAATCCTGCGGCTGCACGCTTCAACTTTACCTCTTCGATTCCTCCGCCACCAGATACATTTTCACCCTTTCCTAGATGTTCTAAAACGTGGCTAGCCCATTCTCCCGCTGCCAATACGAGCGCGGTGTGCTCAAGTCCGAGTGACTTCCCGTCATCTAGTTCCAAGCAGCCGTCAATCGTAACGACTGCAAGCTCGAGTGATGAGCTCAGAACCGCTGCTTCCTTGTCATTCTGGCGTATGTTTGTACCAGTATCTTCGTCTCCGTCGTCGTCGGAATCCACCCTTCCTGCAAGAGGCCTCGTGCCAATTGTGATAGCCAGCTCCAGTGAATCCGGAGCAATGATAGCCAGGAATTCCGGGGCATTGCGAGCCATATGGACTAGAATGGCCAGTGTTCGAACGTACTGCGAGAGTACCAGTGCACTAAGGATAAGACCGGTCCCCGCGGCTTTATACCGGTGCATAGCAGGCTGATGGAGCGTACGAGACTCCCTCGATTGTTCATCACGCAGGAATAGCCAGAAGCGGTTCATCAAAGGGCAAATGAAGTGTTCGGCTGCGACTTCGGTAAACGCTACGATAGGCTTTGGTTGTAGTTGAAGAGACTGAAGGCCGCGAACGAGGTCGGATGTATGTGGAACTTCGCTGATCTTTGCAGGTTGCTTGAGGCGTAGTCGACGTTCGCGTGCGATTGAAGGGACTTTGTCTTCTGCGGTGTCTCTCGTACGGTCAATTGCACGTTGGGTGATGTCTTCTAGGAGTTGTCTGGCGGGAATTGTTGACCTGTTTTGGTCCGTGGCGGTGATGTATTTCCTGTGCATAGCCGGTGGCAATTGTTTACTTGGAAAAGCGACGGCCTTTGGGTCAGAGGCGGTAGAGGAACGCGACGGAAGACCGGCAAGTTCACGAGCACCGAATACCAACGCGTTCAAAAGAGCGAATCGCTGCTCTGTCGAATATTGGTGCCTGAAGAACTCCTCTATTAATGACCTAAGAAAGAAACGTCAATGGAATTTCGTGCGGGCGCTGAAACATGCATACTGAGCAGCTTTTTGCGGGCAGCATGCGACAAGGGCGGTCAACGCAGCTTGGCGCCTCTCGTCGAACCCTTCGAGCTCATATTTGTTCGTGAGGCCCAAGAATCCGTACGCGAGATTCACAGCATTCTCCTCTACCGCACATAGTCAGTAAACCTTTCATCACGAACTTAGTTTACACACCTAACTCGGTACCGTACGCCCTCTTCCTCCGGATCAACTCCTCCGCAGCCTCGAGCGCAACCTCAATCTTCTTCGGCTCCTTATCCTCTTCTTCCTGGCGCACACCACTACTCGGGCGGATCATCTCACCCAGCTGCGTGAGGTATACGGGGCGGTGGATGACGATCTTTCCAACACGGAGAGTCGGATCTTGTTCGATTTCCTCAAGCTCAGAAGGAGTGGGAGATGCTGAACGGGAAGAAGAAGGTTCAGACGCGTATCCGGTCAGTGAGTCGTCGGAGTCGTAGCCGGATGATACGACTGTAATCTTTGGCTTCCGCGTTGAGTGTGATTTAGGCTCAGGGGATGAAGGCACCGTGTCAACGTGAGCCTTCTTCGCGCCTTCGAAGCCTGTATCGTTGCCCGGTGCCTTGGGATCCTCCTCAGATACCAGTGAGACGTCTGCATCAACGTCTCTCTCCTTGACAAGCTCTCGGATATCGCGACACCATTTCCTACCATCACTATCTCCATCCCAGTCGCCAAAGTCCAGCTTTTTCCCGGATGCTTTAGCAACCTCTTCGGCGACGAGCATTCCACATCTTCGAACAGATGGGTCGAGGTGTGAGATATAGGTGGCAATAGAGGTGATAAATGGTGGTGAGAAGGAGAGAGCTGTGATGGCAGGGTGGGTGGATGACCCTCTAGTAGACGCAGTTAGGTATGACAATGCAAATAGGAGGAACGCGGTAAAGTCTGTCATATAGCTCGGGGGTAAGCATAGGTGCATTATCCGGGAGTGTGTCACGTACATCGATGACCAGCCAGGAGCGAGTGTCTGATGTGATCTGGTGCGGTCCATATATCCACCACCTTTGAAAGCAATAACTCAAGACCATTCGTCCCACCGGTAGTCATATCGGAAGAAGCTGCGTAGCAGACTAGAATTCGTGCGTGACCCACTGACCATTGACGTCCAAGCGCAGCAGCCGTGAGGCCGTCGACGACGTCACTCTCTTCCGTCAGTAGACCAAGCAGAACGTGTAACAATACTGCTTCTCTCTTCACCAACGCTCGTGCTTCTTTCGAACCGTCGAGATCGGGTATCGAGCTTAAATGCGACAACAGGGAAATCAAAATCGCCTGGAGAGTGGTTATTGAGGAAATAGAGCCGAATACCTTCGGCCAGGGCGAAGATTGCTCTAGTTGTGAGCGGAATGAAGGTAGTATGATATTGAAGAATGATGGCTGAGAAGAGCCTATTGGCTGCGTTGGAGGAAATACTCCGATGTTCACCAGTTTCGTCAGAAGGAAGTTGAGAGCCGCCAATTCGTCTTGTGAATATTCTATCAGCACGCGCGGGAAACCTCTGTAAAGGCATGAAACGTACCTTGAGATGATTTCGTGGATAATGAGGATACGAGAAACCACAGCCTTCGACTTAAATTGTTGAAATACGTTCCATATTCAAGGGTTTGTGGTATTTCGCCTCGTGGACCCAACGCGTTCGCTACTTTCGCAGGAACCGCACAAATGTTGCGTACGCAATCTTCCCATGTCACGGCATGCTTTTCTGACTTTGTGTGTTTTCCTGATATGATCGTCGACCACAGTACGTCGATTGTGTATGACCTTGTGAGATGCGTAAGAAGACGTACGGAGTGCATGGTGATTGGTGAAGACAATATGGTCGAATAAGCATAGAACGCTATGTCCTTTGCAACAGCATTACCAAAGGCAAAGGAGTCCGGGGAGAAGTACTGTAGTACGATGTCGAAAGCGTCATTTTGATCAAGGACGTGTTCCCATGTCGGTAATACTTGTTCTAGGAGTGCACGTTGTAATGGAGGTAGATGCCTTGGGCGTGATATATTTTGCTGCGATAACGATTCAGTATTGTATTTTAGAAATCTTGGCGGCAGGATGTTCAGAGCTGCCAAGGGAGGTGCTAGCAGTCGTAGAAGAGTTGGTAAATCCTGGACAGGCGACTGAAGTCTGCTGATGACCTCTCGTATTTGTGAATACGTGGTCTCAAGGTATTCGCTAGACATGCTATAATCAAATGTAGTTAATTAGCTGTGTAGAACCAAGTTTATAAGGGCTTACGGTTTCGCTACTGAGTTTAACGGGTACTATGTTATAGCTCCGCGGAAGGACTTGGCCGCAGGAAGGCTCGAGCTCAAGCGCTCACCCAGTAGCAAGCTTACACAAGAGGGAGGCAATAAAAAGTTTTTAGACACCGTCCCCGAAAGTTTCGGGGTCCTCGAAAGGGGGGGTCCCCCCCACCCACCTGCCTGATTAAGCTGAGCTCGGCGAGCGGCCCGCCATATGCCGTAGGCGTATAGCCCGACTGCACCGAGCCTGGCGGGTTAGGCTAGCTAGTCTACTGTCTGAAGTCAGGCATGAGGAGGCGAACGGCGAACGGCGAACGGTCTTTGTAACGGAAGGGTTAAAACTAAGACACAATTCATTGGGAGAAGCTATGTACAAAACTATAAAAAAACCTTTGATATGGTGTTGTTTTATACAGTAAGTACAGTACTTCCATCGCGGCCTTCAAGCTTTAGCTAAGTGAAGTTCAGTCCTTAAGCTCGTCCAACTTCGCCAGCACAGCCCGGAATCATGCACATAACAGAGTTGTTGGCATAAAGGATATTAATAGTAGCCACGAGACTTGTTTTATACTGAAAATCGCGAATGCGAAAACAGTCTGACTTCGCCGCCCCCGTTGGCCGCAGTGATAGCCGCGCAGCGAGGACACACGGCGTTTATCCGTGCTTTATTTGGTTTTATTTGTAGCCTCACGAGATTCAAGTGGTATCGCTTCCCTACAACGAAACACCTCTGTGAATTTTAAAAAAGTTTCTTGATCACAATACAGAGTACATGTTTGAGACACTCAGCAAAATTTGGACCGATTTATTTGGGAGGATACAAAGCTTTGCAGAGCTGCCTACAAAAGTCGCCTGGAAGGACCCCGTACACCGATTGGGGACCGTCCCCAGGGGGGGTCAGTATCCCCGATTCCAATCTCGCCCCCCTCTTGAGCTTGCATAAGCGCTCCAAAAAAAGAAGCACCCATTTTGGCGCTTATATCCCGCCTTCCGAAGTCCGAGGCTCCGCCCTCCGAATATTCCTCTCCGGCATACAAAATATCGCCCGCCTAGCTCAATCGGATAGAGCGTCAGACTCTTATGAGACCCGGGTGAATACCAATCTGAAGGCTGGGGGTTCGACCCCCCCGGTGGGCTAGTTACTTTTTCCTTGCATTTTGTGTGTGTTTTTTTCGTCCGGGATGCGTTTTTTCAACGGGTCGGGTAAAGCGTTCGAAGGTAGCCGTGTAAGCGCACATATACTAAATTTGGAATGGCGCCCCCAATATAGAATGTACGGCACACGTGGATATCGCGTGGTATACTTTGTGGCGCGGGAGTATACAGTAGTGCAGCCGACACATATCGGCCACCCAGCGGCGCTTCAGAATATAACTCTTACACCTACCACGACCACACGACTTGCGATCTTGTTCTCGTAAAGGGCTTTCAACCATGACAGATAGTGTTGTGATATTCGACGCGGAAAAGACCCATGCAGCTGATACAGAATACTTTGTGAGGCGAGGAATGACCAAGGGATACCAGATTCTGTCCTTGCTTGCTCCTCCAGTCTATGCGGTATTCGCGATCTCAAAATATGGAAGAGGTCATATAACTGTCAACAGAATTTTGAGGGCAACTTGGATGGGAGGGTCTGCAGGAGTCGTGGGTGGTGGAGCATTCGAGTATGCGAGATCACAGTGGACGGATGCGGAGAGGTTGAGGAACAGAAGGCTAGTGGCGACATATAACGTGCGTACAGATCCTCTTGTTGTGGTAGGTACCAAAACGGCTCACTTTTTCAAAGACTTCTTCGTTGCGAGCGGATGATCACGCGACAATCGGTGGAATCCTCTTCGCCGTGGTCACCCCAGCTTTGTTCTGGAAACGAGCAAACTCGATAAACTGTGAGGTTCTGTACAAATTTTTTATCTTCGTTTACTCAAATCTATCCAGTGATACTCGGTGGGGCAGGCATCGGATCTGCAGTAGGACTACTTACGCACTACGGGCGAAGTCTCACAGGTGACCATCCGCCAGTAGTAGAGATCCCTACACCGAGCCCTCCCAATACAACGGAAGAAGCAACGACAGCTCCCCCACCATAGATCGTAAATAGGATCCACTTATCGTTGTATTTATCCTGGTATGATTGCAGTCCTATCAACGAGTACTCGTCTAAAATCAATCTTCTACTCAGGAATGTGTATTTTATAGCATACCTAAAAATCTACGGCTAACCAACCTCGTTTGGGAAACCGATTTTTAGCGCAAGTTGGGTTCCCAGCTGGACACCGCCATGCAGATACTGATCCCGAGGACCACGAAAAGGTCTGCGCTAGGACAACGCACATATAGTGCTACTGACCTCCCTCGAGGTGCTGCACTGGCCTATATGGTTACTCCTCAATAACGAGTATGCCAGGTGAGCAGTTATAGTTAATACTCACTGGTTAGACCATATACAGCGCTGGTGTCCTGGCGTGGAGTGTATCCAACATCACAGAGTTGATCAGACTCTCAGTCTGTATACCACCACTGCACGACACCCCTTCGTCGCAGTACATCTTCGGTCGCGGCTGGCTGTCTCAAAGTTCATCTTCTCGGAAACCTAGACTGAAAGGTGAGAAGGTCGGTCAAGAGCGCGGAGTACAAAGCTATCGCCGTATACATCTCGGCTTGCTACAACACTATGGCTAGCCGTCACTTCCACCTCGAACGGAGTCGAGTTGCCCCATAAACGCCGGTGCCGCGCCATACCGATGCCTACAGAACACCCTCCTCCGCCAAAGGCTTCCATGTGGTTTCACCTACAGATGGAGTGCATAAATTTAGAGCACATTGGGGTTCATCTCAAAAGACTCCGGTCGGTAGCGAATATCGCCCCGGGACTTGGCCATGTTAAGAGGGATAAGGGTGGCGGTAACCGTCCCAGGCAAGCAGATTGGTGCAGCATCGGTGCAGGCCGAAACCGGTGTCGAAGGGAGGGAAATGTCGAGGCTGTCGTCCGAGCCATTGTAGCCTTGGTAGAAGCTGCCGTCGTCCTCAAAGTCGTCCATATCGTCCATGAAGGCGGTGAAGGGGGCCATGCTTTCGTCCGAAGCACGGAGGGGCAAGATCGTGCTGATGCCGGAACAGGTGGCCCCGCACAACTGATTTGCCCAGCGAGCGAGGTTGTCGAGGGGGCTGTCATCCGAGATGATGACGTCGACCTTGCGGTCCACGAAGCCACCGTAGATGAGGGTCGGGCGGGACCTAGCCTGGTTAAGAGAGATAAGGTCAGTACGGTTAAGGCCTTTCGGCATAGCAATTGGCTTGCGGATGTGGATATCTGTGGGAGCAATGGGTTTAGTAGCCTTCCAGAGGCCATTCTGATTAGTAGCAATAACGGGGTGGGTGTAGGGGTGGCGGTAAAGAAACGCATGGCGTACTACGTGGGGGTTACGGAACAGAATTTAGGTGAGAATACGGATTCGATACTTTGCGGTTTTATGTCTGTGCGGCGTTCGTCGGTTATCCGAAAGACTGAGGCTGACCAGGGATGCGGCTGCCAACATGACAGATTTGCCCAGCCGATGATTGGTTGTACTCAATATACAGGACAAGTGTATCTACTCTGGATTGTTCAATCAAACCCACGCCTTCTAGCTATGATATGCTGAACGTTTTGCAGAGCTTGAGTGAAGTTAGTGGCCTTAATATTGAGCTGTAGAAATACTTAACATGATTCAGTCGCGCCGTACGCATGTCACAACACGCCTGTCACGGAAATTGTCACAACGCTGTATGTCACAACGTTCAAATATTTCCTCTTTCCCAGGCTTTTTCCAAACCTCCTCGACTACGACAATTCTGCTCGTTGGCCACCGTCGTCCAGCCCTGTGTGAATATTTGTGCCATTATATAATACTGATCCCTCCGTATGCATGCCTCACGCCACGACCGTTCTCCGAGTCCTGTCTGATCCTCGTGTTCTGCTCATGCACTCCTTAACCGATACTTGAAGATATTCAGACATCGCCCACGTCCCTCAGCATACATCCTCTCTTCCATCGACAGCTACTTACTCTAGCACGATGCCAAAGACACGCAAACCAAAGCGCAAGGTGCCCGTAACCGTTAGAAAGGGGAAACGTTCTGGCACCAGGACTCCAGGTCCCTCGGGCTCGTCCAAGCCCGCCGCTACACGGAAAGTCATACGCAGGTTCCATATCCTTCATAAACGCCAGGCGCAGTTACAGAAGTTTCTTGAAGGAGACAGCGTTGAATTGTCCAGACAGGCGAAGGATGCGAGGGAGGAGCTGCAGGCTATTGAGCAGGAGATCTCAGACATGGGCGGGTTGGAGGCCTATCAGAAGATGTCCGTGATTGGGCAGGGGAATGATAGAGGTGGAGGGAGTGAAAAGGTGTTGCTTGAATTTTTGGAGGAGTTAGGGTATCCGAAGGATTTGAACGAAGGCCAACGGTGGAGGTGAGTTCGTTCTTCGCCTCAAACTTATACAAAACAGGGTAACGAGATTGATAACAGAGTGCTCGAGGTTGGTGCTCTGAAACCTGATAACTATGCATCGTGCTCCTCCTGGATGGATGTGACACCTATCGACCTCCATTCACGACACCCTGACATTAGTGAGCAAGACTTCTTGCAACTTGACGAAGAAGAGAACAAGGAAAAGTGGGACGTGATTAGTCTCAGTCTGGTCGTAAACTTCGTCCCAGAACCGAAAGACCGAGGTGGGTGACTACGTAAAGCACCCAGCCATCACTCTATCCGCTTACCATGTCTCTCATCCCACACAAGGTCGCATGCTTCAAATGGCGCATGCGATGCTACGGCCGAACCAGTACCTCTTCCTTGCAGTACGTGCAGTTTGATATACAGCCAAATATACTCGTGCTGAGGCACGTTGGACAGCTCCCGTTACCCTGCATCCTGAACTCAAGATATGTGACACCTGAACATCTCCAAGGTCTCATGACAACTTTATCTTATACCGAAGTCAAGAAACGTTGGAAAGAAGGCGGAAAGATGGCCTACTGGCTCTACCAAAAAACCGAATCCGACAAGGACAAACCCGATAGCGAATTCGCACCATACAGGAAGAAGGCAGTAGTCCGGTCGGGTAACAGGAACAATTTCTCCATTCTACTATGATCATGACTACAAGTAACCTGTAGGACATTCCATGTTTATCCTACCATATCTAGTCATTAATGTTTCTTGTCTTCTGGGCTGGGATACAGCTAATAAAGGACGTATCAGTTGACAAATAGGTGTATGCTCTGTGGTGTGAACTGACCTTTGTGGGGTTCATGATATCCAAGGGATCAATAGCATACTTCACGTTTCGCATCAGCTCCACTGTGCCTTCCCCCAATTCGTCAATCAGGTATTCCTTCTTGCCTACGCCGACTCCATGTTCTCCGGTGCCTGAGAATATAGGTCAGTATCACCGTTTGTAATGCATGGGTAGGAAGCTGTAACATACAAGTACCATCCAACGCAATTGCTCGGTGTACAAGGCGATGAACAGCGTCACTGACGGGTTTGAGCTCGTCATCGCTATTAAAGAGGATTAGAGCATGGAAGTTGCCGTCTCCGACATGACCGACAATGGTCGACTTCAAACCATGCTCTTTCAGGTCCTTCTTGGTCTCGTACACCAGTTCAGGTAACTTTGACACAGGAACGCTGCAAATAAGTGTTCAATCAGTCCTCCATGCTAGATATCGAACTTGTTTGAACAACTCACCAAACGTCAGTCGTCCACACCCTCGCACCCTCTCCACCAGCCGTCATCGTGCTCATCAACGCATACTTTCTGTTCTCCCAGAGCTCAGCCGCCTCTTGGTCCGTCGAAGCAAACTCAAACTGCCGGCTACCGTGCTTCTTGGTTATCTTCTGTACAGCTGAAGCGGTATCTTTGATGGTTGTGGGTGTGCCTTGAAGCTTGAAAAATAGTGTGTCTTTGACGGGGTAGGACTTTGAGACGAGGCCCGCGTTGTTAATGGCAGCCATCACTAAACACAGGCATATTAGAAGATTATTCAACATGTTCTCACAGAGGGTGACTCACTATTATCATCGAGCAATTCGACACATTCTGTGTTTATGGTCAATATTTTGGATAGGACCCACGTTGGCTTTCACACTT